ATAAAATTGGAGGGCTTACATTACCAGAATTTGAGACTTATGGTAAAGATACATTAATTAAGACAGTGTGGCTTTGGTGCAAGGAACAGGTCAATGGAACAGAACAGAAATTCTATTCCTACATAAATACTCTATGAAAATGAAAGCACATGTTCACAAAAGCTTGTAGGAGAATGTTCATAGCATCTTTATTCATCAGAATTTAAGACTGAAATTGACCCAGATGTCTATCAACAGGAGAATGGACAAATCATGGTATATATATGCAATGGAATACTATTTAGCAGTAAAAAGGAGCAGAATACACTAAACAACATGGATGAACCTCACATACATAATGGAAAGAAGACACACACACACACACATGCATGCTGTGAGATTCCATTTAGATGAAATTCTAGACATTCAAAACTAATCTGGTGAGAGGTCAGAAGAGCTGTTACATCTGGGGACTGGGTAATTGACTTGGATGGGGCACAGGGATGAGTGATAGAAAAGTTGCTATATGCACAGGTAGAAGTTCACTGAGCAAAACCCTAGATTTCTCTATTTTGCCACATGTAAGTTGTATTTTAATAAAAAAAGAAAAAATTCCATTGTGTTTTGAGGAGTGAATTCAGCACTTCCCTCCATAGCACCTCCTACCATGTGTATATTCATGTGTCTGATTGCACAATCAGGGCAAGTTCTGGTAGAGTGGAGCCCTTACCTGCCTTCTTCATGCATGTATTCCCAGTGCCTGGCATGCAGCAGGGTCTTGTTGTGTATCTGCTGAGAGCATGAATGTGCATTGGGTTCAAAGGGTGCTGAGGAGGGAGCCCATCAACTCTGGCCAGGGGTGGGGGTGCTTCCCAGGGGAGGAGGGGCCATTTGCGTCACACTCTGAAGGCTCTTGGGGATTTTTCTCAGGCAGAGTAAAGGAGGAAGAGCAGGTAGGCAGGGGAGCCTGCATATGCAAAGGACCAGGGGCAGGAAGAGCAGCTTGTACTGGTAGGAGCCTCAGCTGCTGATGGTAGAAGGACAGGGAGGGTGGAAAGGTAGGCAGAGCTTGTTCACTGAGCTGAAGAACTTGGTCTTTATGTGAGCCATAGAAAGTTTTGAGGGAGAGTAGTGACAAAAATGAAATTGCGTTTTAGCAAGGTCACTGGGTTTGCAGACTGGACCCTGGCAGGAGGGCTGGGAGTTCATGGACGTAGGAGGGTGAAGCTTCTTCAGTTTTTGTCCAGCCTAGGGACAGGCCACCAACACAGAAGCCTGCGTTGGATGGTGACGTGAGACTGGAGGGGCCTGCCATGCTGGTGAGCAGCGCCACCTGCTGGTGTGTTCTGCTCCTAGACTTGGCAGGCCATCTGGTTCCTTCTGGTCCAGAGACAGACCCTCCCTCGGCCCTGAGAATGGGGGGCAGAGAGAGACCTTTGGGAGACCAGCTGGTTCGGAGGCCTGAAATAATAACCTTGTACAGATACAGGGAGTGGAATATTCCCCTGTACTGAACAAACACGATTAGTAATTACTAGGTTTTGCCATTCTACCTGGGTTTGGACCCTAGTTCCACCACCTTGTAGCAGTGTGACCTTGAGAAAATTACTTCTCTGTGCCTCAGTTTCCTCATCTATGAACTAGGAATAGTATTAGCATCCACTTGTTAGGGTTGTCATGAGTTAGCAAATGTAGTACACTCAGAACAGCGCCTGGTCGGTGCTGACTACTCAAAGCTCTTATTATATCTTGTTATTTCTATCATTACCATCATTCAAAGCATGGACTGAAGAATGCCTGGTGCCTTTGGAGGGCTCATGGGCTGGAGGCCGAGGGGCAGCCTGTGGCCCACGGGGTCTGAAGGTGGCTGTGGGAGCTGGAGGACCATCTCCTGACTATAGCGGGGATCGCCCACTGCTGTGAACCTGGAGGAACGAGGTCAGATGTGTGTTTTGGAAACCCACCACCTGTGCACCCTTTTTTACTCTTGGAGCTTTACACATGCACCCTCCCAGAGAGCCCCATGTCCCGCATCTGGTCTCCATGGTGTCTTCACTATGCAGACCAGAAAGCGGGAATGGGAAGTTAAGTAACGTGCAAGTCTATGTGGTGAATTAGGGTCAGAGCCCGAAGCCTGGGGCTTGGGTCCCCACAGCCCAGGGCTCCATCTACCCCATGGTGTCAGGGTTATGGGCGACCATTCATGACATCTGCTGCTTGGCGGGACGTGAGCCCAAGCGGCTTGACCCTTTCCCTGCCCTGTACACCGGCTCTGGGTGGATTCCATAGCCTTTCTGGTGTCTTTCAGCTGGAGCAACAATCCTTATTCCAGGAATTAATTTAAAAACTGGCATTTTTGATCTAAATTAAAGCTCCTCCCATCTCCCAGCTGGGCCTGCTTCAGGCTGAGGGATCTGCAGCAGGAGGGTGTGTGTGTATAAAGAGTGCTTGTGGGCACCGAGTGTGTGAATATGAGGGAGTGTGTGAGTGTGTGACAGCATTTGAGCATGTGTGTGCACGGGACTGTGCATGTGTGTGTGTGAGAAAGTGGGGAGTGTGTATTTATTGTGCAGACAGCCCATTTGTACCTCCTGGACCCAGGCTCATCACCCCACCTATGTTCCTTCAGGTCACTTGTTATAGGGATCGATAATGTGACACTGCATCTCTGCCACCTCCACCTCCAGTGGCCTTTGCCACCTGCCTCCTGGGGGTCCAGGAGTCCAAAGTCCCAGCACCTCTCCTGGCAGACTGTTGGCTTCTCACTCCAGGGTTCCTGCTCCTGGCTGTACACAGCCCACCTCCCTCAGCTCTCTGGTGGGGGTGGAGAGGGGGAGCCGGTTTGCTGGCATGTTTACAAAACATGAGAGGATTCCTTTGAAAAAGAGAAATGAGTGTAACAGGATTTTTTTTTTCAGATTTAGTGCAGTATTTCTGAAATTCAAGACATGGCTCGTGTGTTTTCTTGTCAACAGTGCATCTCAGAATGTCATGCCTGCTGCTACCAATTAATTCATAGTTCTTCCATTCACCAATTACGGTGCTCGGTGTCAGCAGATTCAGATTTTGTGAGGTTATGTCTTTTGCTTTCAAGTGGAAATCGTGCAAATTTGATCAAGCAATGAAGTTATAATGATGCATGTAAATTGAATAATAAAGCCAAATTTATCCCCCTAGTCAAATGTGGTCATATAATTTGTGTGTTTATTGGTGTATAATTGACATATAACATTATATTAGTTTCAGGTGTATAACGCAGTGATTCAGTATTTGTACATGTTGCAAAATGATCACAAGTCTAGTTAACATCTGCCACCACACACCGTAACAAAACCTTTTTTCTTGTGACGAGAACTTTAAAGATCTACTCTTTCAGCAACTTCCAAACATGCAATACAGTATTGTTAACTGTAGCCACCATGCCATACCTGACATTTATTTTATAAATGAAGTTCATTCCTTTTGACTTCCTTCATTTTTTGCTGCCTCCCAAACCCCACCTCTGTCAACCACCAATCTGTTCTCTGTATCAATGAGCTTGACTTGCCCTTTGCTGTATGTTTAGGGTTCTACATATAAGTGAGATCCTATGGCATTTGTCTTTCTCTGTCTGACTTAGTTCACTTCGTATAATGCCCTCAAGGTCCATTCATGGTGTTCCAAATGGCAAGATTTCATTCCTTTTTTATGGCTGAATACGATTCCATTGTGTGTATACCCTACATTTTCTTCATCCATTCATCCACTGATGAACACTTAGGTTGTTTCCATATCTTGGCAATTGTAAACAGTGCTGCAGTAAACATGGGGGTGCAGATATGTTTATGAGTTAGTGTTTTTGTTTTCTTTGGATAAATCCCCAAAAGTGGAATTGCTGGACCATATGGCAGTTCCATTTTTAATTTTATGATGAACCTCTGTGCTGTTTTCCATAGAGGCTAAGACAATGTACATTCCCACCAACAGTGCAGAAGAGTTCCCTTTTCTCTGCATCCTTGCTAGCACTTGATGACGGCCATCCTAACAGGTGTCAAGTGGTAGCTCATTGTGGTTTGGTTGTATATTTTATACTCACTATTTTTGGAGTTTCACAAAATGGTGCCAAACCTCTTTGTAAGAAAAATTTCAAAACCTTAGATGTGTGCAATTCTACCATGGAATTCACAGCAGCTTGCAGGAGCTCCTTGTTGCTGCAGGGGTCCCATGATGGGTTGCAAGTTTTCACTGATGTATCTCTTCTACTAGATAGTGATTTCCTTGAGGGTGGGGATGCAGTCTTATTAATCTGTGACCACAGTATGGCATGTGCTTGGTGCTCAATAAGTATTCACTGGATGAATCAACCAAATGAAATAATAATTAGAAGATAGGTTTGAGTTCAGGTATTGTGAGTAGTTGGAAGTTGTATAAGTCCTAATCACATTTTTCTTTCCCTTATTCATTCTCTTGGTCAATATCTTAGCTCGGGTTGCCATAACAAAATATCGTAGACTGGGTGGCTTCAACATGGAAATGTACTTTCTCAGATGGCCACCTTCCCACTGTGTCCTCACAGGGCCTTTCCTCAGGACGTGCATGCGCTCACGGAATCTCCCTCTTCCTCCCTTCCTCTTATAAGGCCACCAGTCCTATTGGATTGGGGCTCCACCCTTATGACCTCATTTAACCTTCACTAGCTCCTGAAGACCCTATGGCCAATACAGTCACATTTTAGGGGTTCCCTACAATTTGATCCCAGAATTCAATCAACATGAATTCTGGGGACACACTTCAATCCATAGCAATCATTTCCCCACCATAGTTGGCTTCATGTGGAGACGTGGGAAGGCAGAGCTGGAAAGGACTTGATAATGCATCTGATGCAGAGAGAGAAGGAGCCACACAGCTGGGCACAGAGCTGGGATGGCAGGCTTTACTGCCCAGGAAGCTCCCAGAGGGCCTGGGCTGGGCGCTCTCTGCAGGAGCGGGGCCTGGGGCAGCCGACAGGTGCTCATACTGTCCTGACGCTGCCCTTGTGTTAGTTACAGGACTCTGATCAGGCCCACATACAGAGTGTCCTACCGCACGGTGACGGCGCTGGAGTGGAGATGCTGCCCTGGCTTTACTGGGAGCAACTGTGAGGAGGGTGAGTCCACTGGGACGCGGGGCTGGCGGGTGGGGCCTTGGCTGCACTGGGCTGCAGCCTCTGGGTACCTCTCTCTCCCCTGCCCTCCTCCTGTGAGCAGGTGTCCCTTCCTCCACATTCCCTCCTTCCTTTTTCCCCAAGCACCTTTGAACCGAATGCCCGGGACTGGCCAAATTGGGGTGAGGCTGCCACCCTGTGGGCAAGCACTGAGGTGGGGTCCCTGTGTGCATTGGTTAGGTGGGGGATGGAGGAGAACCTGGAGCCTGGCCTGGGGAGGGGGTTCAGCTTACAGTCTATTTCCTCAGCTCTGGCATCAACTCACCCAGGCACTGGGGCCAGCAGAGCTGGGTATCTGGGCTCTGAGCACATGCAGACGAGGGCCCACAGGCTTGGAGCCAGGTGTGCTGTAGAATGAGGCAGACAGACCTGGTGGGTGGCAGCAGACAGGCCTCGCCACCTGTGAGGGCTTGGACCTGCATTTCCTGTCTGTAAGGGAGGCAGGGGTTTCAGGGAATGATTCATTTACCCTTAATAACTGACTGAGCCCTTTCCAGTGATCAATAAAATGAGCAATGTTGGCCTCTGTCCAGTGAAGCACGGGGTGGGGTCCCTTTGGGTTGACCATCGAGGCCTCATTTCTGGAAGGCTTCCTTCAGCATCGGGCCCTCCTCTCAGCTCCCAGAGCCTCTGAGCTCCCCTGTACCCCATCATTAGCTCAGCCAACCATAATCCTGTGTTTCCACGACTGCCCCCACCACCCTGTGGGACTCTTTCCTCAAGGTATAACTGAGCCCCACCTCAATAGGGCCTCTTCTTCTCCTGTAAACCACTGTGGTGCTTAAGTTCCACCCCTTAGCAATCATTGTCTTGAATTCTATCGTGATAGATCAGTGTTAAATAACTATTCTTAAACTTCATATAAATGGAACCCTATAGTATATACTGACTTGTGTATGATTTCTCTTATTTAACCTAATGTTTTTGAGATTTATTCATGTTGTTACATGTGTATCAGTAGTGTTGTTGTCACTGAATATCATTCCGTTGTATAAATAACCACAATTTTATTCATCCATTCTCCTGTGGGTAGATATTTGGGTTGTGTCTAGTTTTTAGCTTTATGAATAAAGCTTCTGTGAACATTGGTGTGTATGTCTTTCTGTAGACATGCTGTTATTTCTCTTGAGTAAATCCCTAGGAGTGGAATAACTAGGTTGACCATGAATTTATAAGGAAGAGTCAAATGTTTCCCAGAGTGGTTTTACCCTGTTACACTACCACCAGCAAAGTATGTTCAAGTTGCTCCACATCCTTGCCAATATTTGGTGTTATCAGTCGTTTTAATTTTAGCCATTCTAGTGGGTGTGAAATGCTTTCTTGTGACCTTAGTTTGTCCTACCTTGTTGATTAATAATGTTGAACATCTTTTTTGTTCACCTGATGTGCTTATCAGCTATTCCTATAACTTTTTTTGTAAAGTGTCTGTTCAAAACTTTTGCCCACTTTTAATTGGGTTGTTTAATTTTATAAGAAACAGCCAAACTGTTTTCTAAAGATAACATTTTATGTTCAAATTGCTCCACATTCTTGCCAGCATGTGGTGCTAGTCTTTAATTTGAGCTGTTCTAGTGGGAATAAAGTGAAATGTAATTGTAAATTCTTCTTGTTTAACACTATTTTGACCACTCTAAATTCTTTTGCATTTCCATGAAAATTTTACAATCAACTGATCAATGTCTACAAAAAAAGTCTGCTTGGGATTGGGATTAGGATTAGGATTGTAGTGAATTTGTAGAACAATTTGGGGGAGAATGGATATCTTAATAATGAGTCTTCCAATTCATGAACATGGTATAGCTCACCATTTACTTAGGTCTTTAATTTTTCTTAGCACTGTTTTGCAGTTTTCAGAGTAGGGGCTTACTTGTCTTTTATTAAATTTATTTCTAAGTATTTTGTGTTTTTGGTGTTTTTTAAAAAAATGGAATTGCTTTTTAAATTTCATTTTATTATTATTTTGCTGCTAGCATATAGAAATACATTTGATTTTTAAATATTGGCTTTGAATCTGAAAATCATACTAAATAAAAACATTTTACTTCTTCCTTTCAAATACTTATGCCTTTTATTTCTTTTTCTTGCCTATTGGACTGGCTAGAACTATTGGCAAAAATGTTTAATAGAAATGGTGAGATATACTTACCTTGTTTCTGATCATAGTGGGGAGGTCTCCATATTTCACTATTAAGTGTGTTGTTGGCAGTATATGTATACCATTTCTCAGATGAGGACAGTCATTTTTATTCTTATTTTGAGGTTTTCATCAAGAACAGGTGCTGAATCTTGACAAAGGCTTTTTCTACATTTATGTTGAGGTGATCGTTTTCTTATCTTTTATTTTGTTAATATTGCAGATTACACTGACTTGGAATACTAAACCAAACTTTTGTTCTTGGGAATAGCCTTATTATTACTGGGAGAAACCTTAGTTGGACGTATTATTCTTTTTTATATTTCCATATTTGATATTTATCTGTAATTTTTTTCCTTATAATGTCTGTCAGTTTTTGATTATGTAGGTAATACTATTCTCATATAAAGAATTGAGAAATTTTCCCTCTTCCTTTATTTTATGAATGTATATATATTTTTCTTTTTGGTAAAGCTGGTATTACTTGTTCTTTAAATGTTTAATAGAATTTGCAGTGAAACCACCTGGACCTGTAGTTTTCTTTGTGAGGAAGTTTTTGATAATAAATTCATTTTCTTTAACAGATATAGTGCTATATATGTTTCCTATTTCTCAAGTAAATAATTAAGATAATAATTTAATAATGCATTTAACAAATCAACTTTGTAGAGGTGTAATTTACATACAACTTTTTACATACAAATAATTCATGCACACCAGAAATGTACAGTTCATTAAGTTTTGACCCCATGAATAATTTTCTGCATTATTCTCTTTTCTCTGGTATTCTGTCCACCAAATTGGCTTAGCCTCTCTGAACTCTGATTTCTCTCTCTTCAGTTCAGAGAGATTGCCACGTCCTACCCAGTCCTCCCTCCAGGTGCTCAGTCCAGAAGTTGCCTCCAGGAATTAGCTTGTTTGTTTTTCTTCTCTCAGGAAACACTGTTTTGAATTGCCTCCTGCCCAATGTCTGTAAACAGTTGTTTAATAAATTTTGTCCAGTTTTCTGTTGTTTCTGGTGGGAGGGTAAGTTCAGTATGAGTTAGTCTATCATGACTAGAAGCAGAAGTTGCACATTTTCCCTTATTGCATTTTATTTATTTATTTTTATTTTTTAATTTTTTTATTTTGGTATCATTAATCTACAGTTACATGAGGAACATTATGTTTACTAGACTCCCCCCATGACCATGTTCCCCCCATATACCCCATTGCAGTCACTGTCCATCAGTGTAGTAAGATGCTGTTGAATCACTACCTGTCCTCTCCGTGCTGTACAGCCCTCCCCGTGCCCCACTCCACATTATGCATGCTAATTGTAATGCCCCTTTTCTCTGCCCCCCACCCTTATCCCTCCCTTCCCACCCAGCCTCCCCAGTTCCCTTCCCTTTGGTAACTGTTACTCCATTCTTGGGTTCTGTGATTCTGCTGCTGTTTTGTTCCTTCAGTTTTTTCTTCTTATACTCCACAGATGAGTGAAATGATTTGATACTTGTCTTTCTCTGCCTGGCTTATTTCATTGAGCATAATACCCTCTAGCTCCATCCATGTTGTTGCAAATGGTAGGATTTGTTTTCTTCATATGGCTGAGTAATATTCCATTGTGTATATGTACCACATCTTCTTCTTTATCCATTCATCTACTGATGGACACTTAAGTTGCTTCCATTTCTTGGCTATTGTACACAGTGCTGCGATAAACATAGGGGTGCATATGTCTTTTTCAAACTGGGCTGCTGTATTCTTTGGGTAAATTCCTCGGAGTGGAATTACTGGGTCAAATGGTATTTCTATTTTGAGTTTTTTGAGGAATCTCCATACTGCTTTGCACAATGGTTGAACCAATTTACATTCCCACCAGCAGTGTAGGAGCGTTCCCCTTTCTCCACATCCTCGCCAACAACATTTGTTGTTGTTTGTCTTTTGGATGGTGGCAATCCTTACTGGTGTGAGGTGATATCTCACTGTGGTTTTAATTTGCATTTCTCTGATGACTAGCGATGTGGAGCATCTTTTCATGTGTCTGTTGGCCATCTGAATTTCTTCTTTGGAGAACTGTCTATTTAGCTACTCTGACCATTTTTTAATTGGATTATTTGCTTTTTGTTTGTTGAGGTGTGTGAGCTCTTTATATATTTTGGATGTCAACCCTTTATCAGATCTGTCATTTATGAATATATTCTCCCATACTGTAGGATGCCTTTTTGTTCTGTTGTTGGTGTCCTTTGCTGTACAGAAGCTTTTCAGGTTGATATAGTCCCACTTGTTCATATTTGCTTTTGTTTCCCTTGCCCAGGGAGATATGTTCATGAAGAAGTCACTCATGTTTATGCCCAAGAGATTTTTGCCTATGTTTTTTTTTAAGAGTTTTATGGTTTCATGAGTTACATTCAGGTCTTTGATTCATTTAGAATTTACTTTTGTGTATGGGGTTAGACTAGGATCCAGTTTCATTCTCTTACATGTAGCTGTCCAGTTTTGCCAACACCAGCTGTTGAAGAGGCTGTCGTTTCCCCATTGTATGTCCATGGCTCCTTTATCATATATTAATTGACCGTATATGTTTGGGTTAATGTCTGGAGTCTCTATTCTGTTCCATTGATCTCTGGGTCTGTTCTTGTGCCAGTACCAAATTGTCTTGATTACTGTGGCTTTGAATTAGATCTTGAAGTTGGGAAGCAAGATGCCCCCTGCTTTATTCTTCTTTCTCAGGATTGCTTTGGCTATTTGGGGTCTGTTGTGGTTCCATATGAATTTTAAAACTTTGTTCCAATTCGTTGAGGAATGTTGTTGGTATTTTGATAGGCAT